GGGGGAGGGTAGAGGAGACGGTGGGGAGGGCGGGGAAGGGCTGGGGAGACAGTGGGGACGGTGGGGAAGGGCAGGGGAGATGGTGGGGAGGGTGGGGGAGACGGTGGGGACGGCGGGGAAGGGCAGGGGAGATGGTGGGGAGGGCGGGGGAGGGTAGAGGACACGGTGGAGAGGGCAGGGGAGGGTAGAGGACACGGTGGAGAGGGCGGGGGAGGGTAGAGGACACGGTGGGGAGGGCAGGGGAGACAGTGGGGAAGGCGGGGTAAGGTAGAGGAGACGGTGGAGAGGGCGGGGGAGGGGAGACAGTGGGGAGGACGGAGAGGGCTGGGGAGGGCTGAGGAAGGCAGGGAAGGCAGTGGGGAGGGCAAGGGAGGGTAGAGGAGATGGTGGGGAGGGCAGGAGAGGATAGAGGAGGCCATGGGGAGGGCGGGAGAGGGTTAGGAGTTCGGGGGAGGGTAGAGGAGGTGGTGGGGAGGGAAGGGGAGGGTAGAGGAGGCTGTGGGGAGGGTAGAGGAGGCGGTAGGGAGGGTACAGGAGGCTGTGGGGAGGGCAGGGGAGGGCAGAGGAGGTGGTGGGGAGGGCAGGGGAGGGTAGAGGAGGCGGTGGGGAGGGCAGGGGCTGCCGACCCTATTTACACAGAGCCTGGGGCCCTCGGGTCAGCGGAAGTTCAAAGCTTAGGCTTTCACGTGTCTTGGTTGCGGGGACGGGTGACCGCCACCCCTTCCTCCCAGTGACTTGCCCATCCTCCCCAGGTTTCAGTCCTCAAGAGGCCTCTGCGTCTTGGATCTTCGCCCCGTTCCAGGACGTGTGGCCTGTGACGCTGCGGTCCAAGGGGCTGGGGCGCGCGCGGGGCCTGAGCAGCGGCAGCTACCGCCTGTGCCTGGGCTCCGGGGCCCTGAGCCTCCTGCGGAAGCCGGGGAGCAGGGCCTCCAGAGACAGCCGGGTGTCGCCGCCGCCCGCGCTGCGCCTGTCGCTGCTCAGCGTGCGCCGCTGCGGCCACGCGGACTCCTTCTTCTTCCTGGAGCTCGGCCGCTGCGCGCCCACGGGGCCCGGGGAGCTGTGGCTGCAGGCGCCCGACGCCGTGGTGGCGCAGAGCATCCACGAGACCGTGCTGGCCGCCATGAAGCGGCTGGGCAGCGGCGCGGCGGGCGGCC